CTATAACTTCGGCACGCTTTCGAACTGGAAATGAGGGAAGCTCTTCGTCTTCCTCCTCATCTCCTTGGGCCAACTCTGTTTTACTTTTATCGTGTAATTTTGAATTTTCAACATTTTCTACTATCGTAGTAGAATCATTGTTACTATTCGGTTTATTTGGACTTGCAGAAGGGCCTTCTTCACATTCCTTCTTATCGTTTATTTCGTCCTTTGGTTTGGTATTTTTTGAGGGTCTGCCCTTTTTACCTTTCTTTTTCGTGATAGTTTTTATCGGTTTTTTGACAGGTCGTTCTGGTTCCTTTGACTTTCCTTGGTTTAAAAAATCCAAATGTGGCGGCAATGCTGATGATCCTCGAAAACAAAGAAATGTTAGGAAATCTTCAGTCTTTGGTCGCTTATTTGGCAATATCTCTGTTGGCGGTTCACGACTCTCTGACGATGTACTTGGTCCAGTATTTGAGGATGAGGATGCAGCATTAATCGCACTGTACGATGACTGTGGCGCACTCTGACCTTGGGCAAATTTTCGCTGTGCTTGAACTTTTGTCCTGTTTAAGTAAAAATAAGAAACACAAAAATGGATTGTTAATACTGCGAAATTAGCGGGATTAAATTCTATAAGTTATTATAACGCATGAATTTCATCTGATTCAAAACTATTGCTCTTTTTAACTCTTTGTAAAGTAATTTTTAATAAGAAACCTATGAGAAGGGACAAATTTTAAAAATGTATAGCCAGTGGGAAAAAAAACATAAATTAAATTACGTTAACTTTGGTCTACAATGTGCAAAGAATAACACTAACCGGTATTGCATTTATTATTCAACTTCAAATTTTTAGGCGCAAAGTATACAAATATGTTTCGATCGAAATGTATTTTTGTATTCGCATTATAAATTTATATCGATGGACATTTTTATAGGAAGAACTGTGAACTATCTCTCAAAATTGATATATATTCAAGCTGAAATTCTCACAATAACATTACTTTCGATCCAAATTTCTTCGATATCGAATTCGAGATATCTGCAGATTGCCAAAATGCAGTATACCTTCACTCCGATATAAAGTCTATAGGCTTTCAAAAAATTTCAAAATGTGATAGATCTATTTTAATGAAATATTTTAATTTGTTTAAAATTCATTGAAATCTAGTCCCGATTCGGTCCAATACTATGAACTATGAGCCATCCGACGAAATATGTCGAAAATAATTCCCTTATGTATTAAGGTCTTAGGGGCTTCTTGTTATTTGTTAAGTCCAATTTGAAACACAACAAAAGCAATTTTGCAATAAAATATTGATGTTTCCGTATCATCTATAGGAGATTGAAGAATAAACGTATTTTATGGTGAATCAAGCTCCCAAGTTCTTTAAATAATATTAATTTTTTAAAGATTTCTTTGTACGATGTACAGTTTAAAATTTGCTTGTAATCACTTTTTGCTTATTTTGTAAACACATTTTACATGATCCCATTAGGATTCACAAGACATATATGAGTGGTTTAGCACGCCACCCTCGTTAATTTTTTGCTTTAGTGCATGGCACAATCACCTCTTCTCAAACAATTAAAATATACACACAACATTTAATGAGAAAAAGAGCAAAAATATCGAGGAAAATAAATAGAATAAATTAAAAAAAAGAAAAACAACAAAAAAAGATAAAATAAAGCGCGAACACACATACATACTTATTCATAAGAATATATAGACAAATATTCATACCTTTTGGGCATTTCTGGCGATGACTCTACAGCAGTAGACGGTTGTTGTTGTTGTGGTGTTGGTGGCGGCGGCGGTGATGACTCCTTACGCTTACGCTTGGAGTCTTTTGAGACCACCATCTTGATGGCAAATGTGTTAAAACTTTACTATTACTATTGAAATGTTTGCTAAATACAAATCAATATACAAATGTAATGTTTATTAACCAACAGTTTTTGTTTTCCCATAAGAAAACAATAGCAAAATCAATTTGCTTTCTGTTTGTGCCGTTGGCTCTTAGAACACGTCAAAAGAAATCGAGAAGCGAGATGAAAAAACAATTACACACAAAACCACCACTTCCCAATGAAATTTTTCTTCATTCGCAAAAAAAAATTGTTTCCGAAGCAAACGTAATTTTTCTTCCTCATATTTCAAAAGTTTCACGTTTATTTTAATGTAAATATTTATTGCACCCCGATTATGCACTGTTTATTTCGCCCCATTAGGCATTTTCACAGAAATTTTATTGTGTATTTCAATGGAAAATGTATGCAATTTTCGGATTTGAGAAATTTTTCTCAACACGATCAGAGAACTGAGCTGCAATAAAGTGTTTAACGGCGGCGACGCTGACTAAAATACAATGGCGTCAGCGGCTTGTCGTGAAAACGTCAATATTGTACAGCAGCTTTGAATTCCAATCCTTGTTCTGTTCCAGTACATTTAATGTGTGTCACAACTGATGTGTCATTTTGCTGTCAAAATACATTATTAGCTTAACAATACACGTACACAAAAATATTCTATACGTCCGCATTAACCAAATACGCCAGAGCCTTATTTTTAAATCTTTCAACTAATAACGTTGTAAAAATTGATAATTTTCAAATTCTCCAAATTGTTGATATCACTCATGGCATAATTACAAAAGGTAGAACAAAGCTACTCTCTAAATATAATTTTTGTGATAAAACTATACCTCTGTTCCAGAACCCGTAAGAATCTACCAAATTTTCAAATTTTTTCGATATCATAAAGGGAAAATTTGTTATCGTAGTAAAAAGTTGTACATCCTTGCAACTCTATATTGTTCTACCATTTTAGATTCAGTCTTATGGAATATCCCCGCTGGTTGTTCCAATATAAGAATTTTGTTTAAAAACATTAAAAATAAACAAAGTCAACTGTTGCATATTTAAAAGTCTAATTGACACTATAATAATGTGTTCTAGAACTGCTAGAATGTAAAAGTTTTTACTATGATAACCGATTTCCCTTTATGATATCGAAGAAAATTGCAAAACTAGTAGATTCTTGCAGGTACTGGAACAGAGCATAAGTCTCCAGCACCCAAGTTCTCACAATGTTTTTTGTAAATTTAACGTAATAAAACGTAATTTACCATATAACTACATAAAATTAATGTTCCTTTCTTAGATTTGTGTATATACAATCGGTTTATGAATATAAAATTTTGAAAAATTACGTTGTAAATGGAATAATCTTGGTAAAAGATTACAGGAAACTTGATACGTCAATTTTTTAAATGTTTTTTTTCAAATATAAGTCTATTTTTATAAGTTTTCTTGGTAGAAAAAATGCAGGTAGATGCATTTTTTTAAAAAACTGTCAATCGGAATATTTTTTCATTAAACATTTTTAATTTCAAAATTGCTAAATTGATTATGGCAACCCTTTTCTGACGAACTCGACCTTATCATTTTGCAAATAAAATCTGTTTCATAACAAAAATATTTCCCTATGACGAGTTGCAGATTTTACAAAATTAATAAATGTTTTTTATTTTTGGCGTTCTTTAGGACGTAAAAACAGTTTTAGATTCCATATTTCAGAAATACCAAATTTATTTGTCTGTTCTTGGATTTAAACATAGAGAGATAAATATTTCAAGCCCTTTATCTTAAGGAAACGTTTTCCGTGATGTTAGTTCTTGCGTAGGCCTCAAATGAGGTTTTACTTTAGGTCCGCCTTTAAGAATCCGTAGAATTACCAGCTGAAAAATGTTGCCAAAATCTTCACTATATCTGCTGTATGAATTCTTGTAACACAATTAATGCCAATTCGACTAATAATGAGAGATCAGAATCTTTTACCCATGGTACAATAAGTAGCTTTGTAAAATTACATAAATACAGCCCTGAGGCTATGTCCGCTTCCTGACAGAATTATTCAAAATTATACGTAACAAGTTGTTTTCATTTATTTCATATTTTTTCTAATTTTTTAAATGAGTTAAAAAGCGAGAAAAATGAATGAGATATCGGGATTTTCTTTTAAAAATGTTATCCAAACTCATGGTAGAATTAAGGAGGTAAAGCCATGCAATCATATGTTTACAATTTTTTTTTTAAATTTATATTTGCAAATCCATTGTATACACACAAATCAGAGATGGAAATCTGTTTTTATGCAGTGAAATTTGCATGGTGGTAGAATATAGGTATACACATCGACACAGCTGCTGGGACAATGAACTGTCAAACCAATATTGGAATGGAAAATGTTGAATGAAATCATTTAAATTTGTAAAAATTTTGAAAGAGGCGAATTATAATAGCCTCCGATTAACGTCGAATAAGAAAACATATAAAAATCCACTTATATTTGAAAAAAAACATTTAAAAATTCAATTAATATTCCCAAGCGTTGATGCATCTACCTGTATTTTTCTACCATGGAAATTTGACTAGGTAAATTACAGAAAATGCAGAGATGGGTATGCTTATTTGAAATGACTACCTTCTACCATCTTAATTTTACCAGGTGCAAACTTCTGGTTAATATCTGCAATGCGGGCCTTGCACTGTTTTAGATTATTTTCTTACTTGACTTTTATAGCCTCCAAACGGGGTGAAAATAACAAAATATTTGGTCTGAAATTAATGAAAAACTCTTGCAAACCTACGCCTACGAAGGGACACGAAAGAAAAAAATTTTAATCATATGATATGACATGAGATTACTTTGGTAATTGTACCATGTACGACACTAATCGGAGGTTGTTATGATATGTATTTTTCAAGAATTGTTACAATTAAATAATTTTTCATTCAAAAATCTCAATTTAAAAATTGGATTAACAGTTCATTTTCCGATGCGGCAATCTGCATTTTTCCACCATGGTAATAATTTTGAAAAAAAAAAAATTAAACATCTTTTTGCACTTGGCAATTCTACCATGATTGCTTTTATTTTACCATACAATGTGAACCCAATCTTGTGTCCAATTTGTTGTTTGGCAATACTTTCAGGGTTGCAATTTTTGTATCAAATGCGTTTGTAGGCATCTCATCAATGTTTTCGAGCAATTGTGATTTTGCAAATTTAAAGAATTCATATTGCAAATTCTAATTGCAGTTAATATCTGCTTATAACTTTGAACTGTACATATATCAACAACAATGGAAGGCGCTGGCAATTGGTGTTTAATAGAGAGTGATCCTGGTGTATTTACTGAGCTTATTAAGGAGTTTGGTACTCAATAAGGAAATTTACCGGTTTTACCGTCCTTTAATTCGTAGTTTACATTTACTTTTCATAGGTGTCGAAGGCGCTCAAGTAGAAGAAATTTGGTCTTTAGATGCTGAGTCATTTAAGAGTTTGGAACCTATACATGGGCTTATATTCCTCTTCAAATGGGTGCAAGATGATGAACCGGCAGGTAGTGTTGTTAAAGATGATCGTCTGCAGAACATTTTCTTCGCCAAACAGGTTATCAATAATGCTTGTGCCACACAAGCCATTCTAAGCGTCCTACTTAACTGCAAACATGATGACATCAAGCTTGGGGAGACTTTGTCCAACTTCAAAGAATTTTGTCAATTTTTCGATCCATACAACAAAGGTTTGACACTGAGCAATGCATCACAAATACGAACGGTGCACAATAGTTTCGCACGACAGACCCTTTTTGAGTTGGACTCGAAGAACCAAAACAAAGATGAAGATGTTTATCATTTTATTGGCTACGTACCAATTGATGGTCGTTTATATGAATTGGATGGATTAAAGGAGGGACCCATTGATCTGGGTGCCATAGCTGCGGGACAAAACTGGATTGATGTCGTTCGACCAATCATAGAAAAGAGAATGAATAAATATAGTGAAGGTGAAATTCACTTCAATCTGATGGCTATTGTTTCGGATCGTCAAAAAATCTACCAACAGCAAATTGATAAACTTTTGAGTGGTGGCAGTGACGAAGCCATGGAGACCGACGACCGTGAGACTGAAGTTGCTAAACTACGCTCTTTGATTGATAATGAAGTGGAGAAACGTAAACGTTATCGCATAGAGAATATTAGACGTAAACACAATTATCTACCATTCATAGTTGAGCTCTTAAAAATGCTGGGAGAGCGCGGTCAATTAATGCCTATTTACGAGAAAGCAAAACAAAGAGCAATGGAACGAGAAGCTGCGGCAGCCAAAACAAAATCCTAAATCTCAAAACGTCTAATATTTAAACTCAATTCATTGCGTTTGTTTTACATTATTTATAGCGCTGTCCTTGTTTAATAGGGATCGCATATTTCTATTCTGTTGTATCTTGATGTATTTTTTTTAATTACGCTTGGGATATGAAAATTTGCATTTATTAGATGCCAAAAGTCCGCATTTGTAAGAAAGAAAATGTACGCGCATGGATATGCGTTAAATACATACTGCCTCCATAAACAAACTATTGCTCTGTTCCAGTACTTACAAGAATCTACTAGTTTTGCAAAATTCTTCGATATCATAAAGGGAAAAACGGTTATCATAGTGAAATATTTTACATTCTTGCAGTTCTGGAACAGATCACATGTTTTCTTTCAAAAAGATTTTTTTATACATTTCTAAAACTATGGCAAAAAATCGATCAAATAACAAATATAAAAGCAAAGTATAAAAGTAGTTTCTTTCATGGTACGATAAAAGGTAAATCTACCAGCTGATTACAATTTTTTCTGAGTGTGCCCGACTTCTGTTAAATTTGTCTATGTATTAACTGTTTTGAAAAATAAGTAGTTTGGATCATCGCTCAATAAGAAAGGTTGCTCAGTCATCAAAATAAAGCGCTAAAATCATCAAAATAGCGAATTTCGGGAGGTACGGTTATACCAAAACGTGGACATACATGGACCATTTTCAATGCCAAAGGTCCTGCAGACATAATATACATTTGAGTAAAATTTTATTAATCTACTTCATTTCGTTCTGTAGCTAGAGTGATTTCCACAGACGGACGGACATCTAAATATGTCCAAAATGTAAACAAAAAAAAAAAAAAAAAAAAAAAAAATTAGAACATTTAATTTTAATACTTTCATATCATTCCCCTGAATGTATACTTGTTAGCTGTAGGTCCAAATCTCTCAACTCTTCAATCAATCGCTAGAAAATCTTGGAAAATTGAAACCCAACTGCATATATACATAAAGTGTACTACATTTTGCAATTTTAGAATACATGAAATATACGACAATATTACCGATGTGCTATATCCAAATCTTAACCGATTTCTAATTAATTTGTCAAATTTTATTGTAACCAAATTCTGCCACACATTCTGAATTTCATACATATTGTGTTTGATGCATTACATACATAAAAACAGACGAAATATATATGGGAGCTATACCCAAACCTCAACCGACTTCAATATAATTTGACAGATTTTTTTTTGGTACCAAATTTAGTCACTCGTGCCGAATTTCATTGGAATCGGGCATGCGTATCGTGTTTTGTGCACCAAATATGTGAAGTCGGACGAAAGTATATATGGGAACTATATCCAAATCTGAACCGATTTCAATATTATCGTATACTAAAAGTCTGGACTTTTAATTTAATTCAGTTTATTTCATTAAGAAAGACACGGTCGAATTTAATGTTTTTATACCCTACAACACTATGTGTTGGGGGTATTATAAGTTTGATTGGGCCAAAAATTATGTAACACCTCGAAATATTGGCTTCCCACATAGGAAAGTATATATGGATCTTCCTATCTCGCCGAGCTGAGTCGATCTAGCTATGTATGTCCGTCCGTCTGTCCATGTTAATTTATAATCACGGAAGTTAGCATGGAGTAAGAGCTTAGGGGTGGCTAGAAGTCTACCAATTTTAATGGTCATCGGGTAATATTTAGTGGGTGAAATAGACCGTAACATTTGTGTTAAATAAAAGTCAAATTTTCCATTAAACCGCGAATGTTTTTAATCCCGACGAAATCACAAACAGACGAATAGGTCAATTCTGACCGTTATTTGTCGATGCCGATAGTTAATATATCTGATATATATATAGCGAAATATATACAATGTGTATATACAAAGGAACGGGATGTTAGCTATAATGCTTATATCTCAAGAATGACTGAACCGATTTCCACAAATTTTGTCAATTCAGAATGCCCTCTTGGCATAAAAGTATAAAATCTAAAAAAGTCGCATAAAAAGATGTCAATAATGATGTTAATATAGGTTTAGTAGTATTTTTGTTATATTTTTTTATTTTTTCATATTTTTTATCGCATACGATTTTTTCAATTTGACTTATAATATTGAAGTGTACATTTTGTAATATTTTTTCGCCTTACAACACAGGTTGGGGTTATTATATACAGATTGCAATTATCGTCCAATCCTCACGAAAATTTTCATAAGAGCAGGGTTAGGCTCAAAAGGGCTAGGCCTATTGGTTTTAAAGATGTCTGCAATATATTTGGGGGGTTGAAATGGACCAACAACTAAAAATGTTCCTGACGTTACGTTATAAAGGTCACAAATAGAAACCAAAGGACACGAAATGGGGCCTCTTGCTTTTGGACATGATTGCAAAATATTTAGGGGTTCAAATGAACCAAAAACAGAAAAGATATTCCTAATCACACAATTGAAGCCAATCGACACGCCTGAGAAGAGATTTAAGGACAAGGAAGGATTCTAGCATTTTGGATGGAAAATGGACCACAACAACTAACAGTATGACGAAGTGCTTAAATATTGCGCAAATGTCCCTGGTCAATGTCTCGTGACATAATTTCAAAAGAGAAATCTTCCAAAATCGATCTGGATATAAGGGGCTTCTAACATATTGTAGTGTTGTAGGGTATCACATGGTCGGCCCCGCACGACTATAGCCTTTGCTTACTAGTTTAACTTGTTCTTATTAAAATATACATATAATGTTTCGCCACATGAGCTAAAACCGGTATAAAAATGTGGCAAAAAAAACATAAAATACCAAATACATCAAAATACTAACCAAAACGTTGGCCGATATATCTCATTTTCAATATCAACCATCCTAGACACAATACAAATTGTTAGGCTAAATTTTGACGCTCTACGTCAAATAATGTGGGCTGTATCGTGATTTCAACAGCAAGACAGACAGATGGGCATCGATAAATCGACTTTATCCGACCATTCGGTTCGACAACACCTCAACCACTCCATATAACAAAAGTCGGACCGAATACGCATCCGAAATCGGAAGTTTCATCGGACTTTCGGACCAAATACGCATCCAAAATCGGAAGTTTCATCGGACTTTCGGACCGAATACGAAATCGGAAGTTTCATCCGACTTTCGACATGCTGACTATGATGCTTGAGATGCATCAACGTTTGGGATCATTGATATGTCAAACATTTTTAGATTTTTCTTCTAAAATAAGAAGATTTGTATATACCTATATGACGCCAATCGGCGGTTGTTATGATATACATATTTAATAAATTTTTGAATATGAATAATTTTCCATTCAACATTTTCATACCCTCCACCATAATATGGAGGGTAAGTTTAAGTTTGTCATTCCGTTTGTAAAACCTCGAAATATATTCGCGATGTCCGTCCGTCTATCCATCTGTCCGTCTGTGGAAATCACTCTAGCTTCCGAACAAAATGAAGTAGGTTGATAAGATTTTACTCAAGTGAATATAATGTCTGCAGGACTTTTGGTATTGAAAATGGGTCATGTAGGCCCACGTTTTGATATTGCCCATAGCCCCATTATTATTCACCGAAATTATTCGCCGAATTTGTTTCAAATTTGGTATTTAAAGTTCGTAATGGATACTACAGCCTAAGACAGAAAATTGTCTGTGCAGGTCCACGGCTTCGTGTAGCCCCCATATAACGATACCTCCCGATATTCGGTATTTTGATGATTTTATAACCATGGCTCAATAACAAAGGTTGCTCAACTTCAAAGAAACTAGAAAAATGCAACTCTGTGCTGGAGTCTTATTGCGCAAATAGACTTTTATATATGCAACAGTTGGTTTTGTTTATTTTTCATTTTTTAAAAAAATTCTTATATTGGGAAAACCCGCGAAACAAGGATGTAATTTTGGGATTATTCCACAAGATTGAATCTAAAATAGTAGGACAATACAGTTTTATATCCCAATATTGTACAATGTTTTGCCCATTAACATCGAAAGTATGCCATGGTAGAAGAATACAGGTAGTCGCATCGGCACAGCTGCTGGGACAATGAACTGTCAAACTGACTTTGAAATTGAAAATGTTGAATGAAAAGTTATTGAAGTTTGTAAAAATTGTTGAAAAATACATATTATATCAACCTCCGATTTGCGTCGTATAAGAAAACATATAAGAATCTACTTATTTTTGACAAAACATTTTGAACATTTTGACTTATCAATGTTCCTAAGCGTTGATGCATCTACCTTATATTCTTCTACCATGAAGTATGCATTAATTTTGCAACCGAATTTGAAATAATTTCAAATTATTGTATTTTTTATTGCAAACAATACACACACATACACAAAATATGTATATGTTTTGACAGAATAAGGGCACCAAAAGAAAAAAATTGTATTTCGGGGGTAGCTTTGTTCTACCATCTGTAATTGTGCCATGATTTTAATCCGGACATAGATATATCGGCACCTTCCTATATTAGGTATTTTAAAGGATTTTAAAAGAATTTTTAATGGATTTGATTTTTTTGAAAATTTTATAATTCGTTCCAAATGGTGGAGGGTATTCAAAGTTCGGCCCGGCCAAACTTACTGCTTTTTTACTTGTTAAGATTTTAACAGAATTTTTAAACGGATTTTATTGTTTTTGAGAATTGTCAGATTCGTTCCAAATGGTGGAGGATATTCAAAGTTCGGCCCGGCCGAACTTACAGCTTTTTTTACTTCAATTTCAAAATTGGTTTGACAGTTCATTGTCCCAGCAGCTGCGTCGATGCGACTACCTGTGATCTTCTACCATTCTTGCCATTGACATACACATTTGCAACAACAGCAATAATAAAAAACGTTTGTTTTGTTTTCATGTTTATTACATTTTATTTAGTTTCTCTTGTTGCATGGTATTTCAGTGTGTTTTGTGGCTTGTCAAATAAATACGTATAATTACTTAAATATTTATATTTATGTATATGTTGGTTGTATATATGTATGGATAAGGAATATTTTTACTGAATTTATATAATAATTATAATATTATGCATAGTATCTGTAGTGGTTGTAGTAATATGACGTACTATTATTGGTTAGGTTTGTATTTGTTGTTCCTAAAGTTCCATATGTTTATATGTATATATATATATACTTTTAGTTAATATAGGTATATGCTAGTTAGTTGTGTATCTAAAAATGTAATTTCCTTTTCCATTGCATGACCACGTATCCTGAATACACTGCGCTATATCATTTGGAAGTTTTGTCGTTTCTTGATTGCGGTTACTCTTTTTTTTTCTTTAAGACATGTCATTGAAGTTCTTATATGGCATAATGTATGTATATATAATTCTTATTTGTTTTATATTTAATAATTTTTTTAATTGTATATCTAAAAAGATAAAGTTATTTCATAATTTCTTTTCTTTTGTCATTTTAGAGTTCTGTGTGTATATAGGAATATTATGTTAATCATTTGGTTGTATAGGTATTTCTTATAGCTACTTTTTTTTAGTTTTTATTTTTGAGTATTTTATTTTTAATTTTGGTTTTTACTATGTTATGGTGTTTTTTCATTTCTTTTATTTATAACAATGCTTAATTGGAACTAGAAGTTTTTGTTTTTGATTACATCATTATACAATGCCTGCAAATACTTACACATCGGTTAATTCAGTATAGAAGAGGAAAGTCTTGTGCTATGTGTGTCAAATCAATTGCGGATGAAAATTGAGATACAAAATTATGGTTTAATTAAAAAAATTAACATTAACTGTCTACCGATTTGTGACTGTCGATATTGTTTCTCATATTACCCTTTGTCTTGGAATTCTTATAGCGGGTTTAGATACAAAATGTTATCCAGATTAACCCACATTATCAGGATTTACTCTTTAAACTGGATTTGTTTAAACAGATTTACCAAACAAAAATATATCTTCTCTATTTATTTTATTTTAAATCCGGCACGGAATCTTTGATACCCCATATATTAGGTTTTTATACCCTACACCATATAGCAGTAAGGGTATTATGTCTTTGTGCATTTGTTTGTAACATGGAGAAGGAAGCGCGATGGACCCACAGCTACTTTTGAGGATCTTCATATAATCACCTTCTGACTCGATTTATGAATGTCAGGTCGCATAAATTATCCGATTGAGATGAAATTTTCCGAACAATATTTGTTCGGCCAAAGACGATCGAAATTAGTGATAATCGGATCAGATTTGGATATAGCTCCCATATAAATCTTCAACCGATTTCGGGTTAATTGTGCACCAAATGGCCAATATCAGTCAAAATGACCTGAATGTTGGCACTTCCGACCGAATTCTGTCTAGAAGGAAGTGCATCAAATTTGGTGAAAATCGGTTCAGATATAGCTATAGCTCCCATATACAGGGTGAGATGGAAAAACTGCAACCAATTTCAGGCTACAGAAGCATTTTGGTGAGAATTTTCCAGAAAAAATTATTATTGATGTAATTCAAGCGTGATAGTGTGACTTCTTTATATTTGGCTGGAAAACCACAAGTGGCTATCGTTAGATCACTCCCGCATTTAAATGTGGATACATCTTTTGTGTTTCGTACCATCGCTCGTTAACGTGATACTGGTATTTTGGTTTTCTCTTTGGTTGAACTGCCGAATTTGGTTTTCTCCGATGAGAAAACATTCGTTGTCCGGCAGTTTGTAAACAAACAAAATGATCGTATTTACGTGCCAAAGAGGTCAGCTGAAAATGTGCACCTTCAGTTGGCCACCAAAACTCAAGCGCCGGCCACGGTGATGGTGTGGGCCGCCATAACAGCCGATGGTGGCTCTCCGCTCGCGTTAATCGTCCGTGACATCAGAATAAATGCCGAATATTGTCGCGAAAATATTCTGGAGGGTGTATTAAAGCCTTGGGCACGCAAACATTTTGTCCGCAGACCTTGGACATTCCAACAGGACTCAGCACCATCGCACTCAGCACGCGCCACCCAAGAATTGTTACAAAATGAGGTTCCTCGCTTCAGCGCAAAATGGACACCAAAATCTCCGGATACCAATCCGTTGGACTATTGCGTCTGGAGTATTTTGGAAAGCAAGGTTGGCACTAAAAATATCAAAGTGTCGATCATCTCAAGCAAAAGCTTCGTCGGGAATGGACCAAAATACCCCACAGCAACTTTCGGGCAGCGTGTGACGGTTTCATTGTCCGTTTGAGGGCTATAATTCGTGCCAAAGGTGTCCAATTCGAACAAATCTAAACTTATTCTAACATTTGATGCTATTTCCGACATTTTTTGCTTTCATTCAACAAAATTAAAAAAAAAATGTAAAAATAATGGCGTTTGACTTTGTTGCAGTTTTTTATCTCACCCTGCATAAGGCGTATATCTGTCCGAAAGTCCTGAATTTTGGTACATCCAACCGAATTCAGTCATCGAATTCACTTGCTTCTAGTACATCAAATTTGGTGGAAATCGGTTGTTGATAGGTGGTATGATCTACTTCAAATAAATTCATTTTTTATGGGAGCTCTATTAAACATGCCTAGTGGTGTAGGGTATCATATAGTCGCCCCCGCCCGACTTTCGACTTTTCCTTACTGGTTTGATACACAAGTTTTTCGTAGATGTACACAAGTAAATGTAAATAAACATCGGCTGAGTGATATTTATATTCTGCTAAGGGTGCATGGTAGAAGAATATAGGCTGCTGGGACATTGAACTGTCAATGCTTCCAAGCGTTAATGCATCTATCTGTATTCTTCTGTCATGTAAGGGTGTATTAAACCACTGAATCTATTAAACCCAGTGGTTTTATCTTCAATAGTATAAATACGCTATAAGAAAATTTGCAAATGTTTACAAACAGACATTGGTCCGGCAAGAATTTACAAACTCTCTGTAAAAGAATTATCAAAATTTCTCTCTCAAGTGTCTCTCTTTAGATGCACTTTAGTATTAACAGAGGACTTCCAATAACAATTGTTAAGATTTTTAGGCACCCAGGCAGACCTAATTATGAGAATTTTGTCAGTTTAAAGTTTGGTCAGCTAATTTTTAATCAGCTGTTTTCTGTTCTAATGGAATTCAGTCACAATACGAGTATTTGGTATATTTTTTTTTCTTTAAAAAATGTTAAACTGAATGAAATTTTGTTTGGCACAACATAAAGTGGTGTTTCATTATATAATCATATATTACTCAATTAGCTAAGATTTTTTAAATCTTTAATTTTGTTCAATGTTTCGATTTGATCTTTATTCAATAGTAATTTATTATTCCCTTTAATTTTGATTTCATTTCTTTTGAAAAAGTTTTTATTTTTAATTTAGCACTTTGTTTGATTAGTTTGGAGTTTCTTATTTTCAATAACTTTAATGTTGATTCTGAAGTCCTTAATTTTTTAAGATTATTTTTGTTCACATTCTTCGTCTGTCTAAATACATTAATTAATTAATTTTGTTTTGTTTCTTTTGCTTCATCGTTTTCAAGACACAACAGTTACTGGTCCAGTTCCGGAAAGTTTGCTTCAAACTGGGGGAAGGAGGAGGAGGAATTCATTTAAATAACAATTAGATATTTAATTATTAAATATTTAAAAAAATTATTCAAAAATGAACACCAACGTTAAGTTTTATACGATTCCTGTTGATAGACAGGTGTTAATGCCGGTGCTGGCATAATATTAGCTGCTACCACTGGAACTGATGATGGTTTCGCGATGGTTGCCGTTGCTGTTGTTGGTAATGCGGGTGTATTGGCATCTGGATTACATTCTTTGTGCACTGAAATGATGGATTAAGATGATTAGGTTAGGATTATAATAAAGAATAATGTGAAAACAAGAAACAAGTAAAAAAATATTAAGTTCGGCCGGGCCGATCATTTAATACCCTCCATCTTTGAATAAATAAAACAGGTGTTTTATAAAAGTATCTGCATTCAAACGTGTTCCACTTCAAACTACAAATACCAGTAAGACCGTTTGGATAATGCTGTTAAACTTTTGAAATCATAGAGTGGGGACCATACCAAACCGGGAACCTTTATAGGCAATTTTATACTTCAAGGATTGTTATGTACCAAATCTTTTTAATAACCAAATTTGAAAATTTTCGTGGGTAAATGTGAATAGGATTATCAAAATACTGAATATCGGGAGGTACCGTTATATAGCGGCTATATCAAAACGTGGACCAAAACATACAATGTTGCACCACCGGATATATAACCCATTATGACCTACAAATACCAATTTTTAGACAAATTCGTGAAAAAAATGTGGCAAAAATCATCAAAATACCGAATATTGGGAGGTAACCTTATATGGGGGCTATACCAAAACGTGGACCTATACATATAATGGTTCGCTACACGAGCTAGAACCCATTATGACCTACAAATACCAATTTTTAGACAAATCCGAAAAAAATGTGGCAAAAATCATTAAAATACCGAATATCGGGAGGTAACGTTATATGGGGGCTATACCAAAACGTGGACCTATACATATAATGGTTCGCTACACGAGCTAGAACCCATTATAACCCACAAATACCAATTTTTAGACAAATCCGTGAAAAAATGTGGCAAAATTCATCAAAATGCCGAATATCGAAAGGTACCGTTAAATGTGAACTATACCAAAACGTGGACCGATATATCTCATTTTCAATACCAACCATCTTAGACACAATACAATTTTTTCTCCTAAATGTTGACACTTTTCGTCAAATAATGTGGGCTGTATCGTGATTTCAACAGACAGAGAGACGGACATCGTTAAATCGACTTAGAATTTTATGCTGATTATGAATATATATACTTTATGGGGTCTACCATGAATACGATGAATATTTAGGGATGTTACAAACGCAATGACAAAGTTAATGTAATCTCCTTTCTAAGGTAGAGGGTATAAAAATATTGGTATGGGCAAAATTACAAGAAAATCCAACATTTATATCCAATTTAATGCGAAATCATAAATTCTATACTCATCCCTGGTTTCTGATTGAGCAAAATATTTAGGTATAGTATGTTGTAAAGAATCGCTGATTTTATGACAGATAAAGGAAAAAATTAAAATTGTGACCCTTTATGGGTGAGGGGTTCGCAGATATATATCATCTTCACAACAGATCTGAATTGAATCGAATATTATTTTCGCGTTTTATGAGCTTCGTAGATATTAACATTTTTGACCCATTTTGGGGGATGGACCGATATATCCCATCTTCACAGAAGATCTTGTGTTAGTAGAAATAAAGCGGTGTGTGAAATATGAAGAGAACCGGATTCTTATTTGGGATTTCATAATAGTTTTTTTATACCCTCCACCGTACTATGGAGGGTATATTAATTTTGTCATTCCGTTTGTAACTCTTCGAAATACTCATGTCAGACCCAACAAAGTATATATATTCTTGATCAGCGTAAAATTCTAAGTCGATTTAGCCATGTCCGTCTGTCTGTCATCTTTCGAACGAATTGAGATGGAAGGCTAAAATTTTGCACACATGTTTATTTTTCCTGTAGGCAGGTTAAGTTCATAAATGGGCCATGTGGGTCCCCGTTTTCATATGTCCCCCATATAACGGTACCTCCCGATATTCAGTATTTTCATGATTTTAGCGACATTATTCACCGGAAATGTTTCAAATTTGGTATTTGAAGTTCGAAATGGTCACTACAGCCTAGGACAGAAAATTATCTGTGCAGGTCCACGTCTTCGTATATCCCCCATATAACGGTACCTCCCTATATTCGGTATTTTGATGATGTTAGCGACATTACTAACCGGAATTGTTTCAAATTTGGTATTTGAAGTTCGTAATGGGTACTACCGCCTATGATAGAAAATTGTCCACGTCTTCATATAGCCCCCATATAACGGTACCTCCCAATAGTCGGTATTTTGATGATTTTAGCGTCATTATTCACTGGAATTATTTCAGATTACTTATTTAGAGTTCGTAATGGGAACTACAGTCTGTGACAGAAAATTGTCTATGCAGGTTCAGGTCTTCGTGTAGGCCCCATATATCAGTACCTCTCTATATTCGGTATTTTGAGTTAAGGTACAATACCCACCGAAATTTTTTGAGATGTCGTATTTGAAGTTCGTAATGGATGCTACAACCTGTGACAGAAAATTGTCTATGCTGGTTCAGGTCTTCGCACAGCTCCGATATAACGATATTTTGATGATTTTAGCTACATTATTCAGCGTTTATTTCAAGTTTCGAATTTGAATATGTTAAAGGCTTATGACATGTCTTATGACAAACAATGCCTATGTAGGTTCGTATAGACCCCAATATAACGGGTATATTCGGTATTTTTCAAAATTTAACAGATCTTTTTAAGGATTTTATTTTTTGAAAATGTCCAAATTCGTTCCAAATGGTGGAGGGTATTCAAAGTTCGGCCCGGCCTTGCTGCTTTCTAACTTGTTTTGTATTCAAAATTTGACCCTTTGTGGGTGAGGTACTAGAAGGAATGGTCCGATCCCTACCTTTTTTATAACATACCTTGTGCTGATATTGTGATCTGTGTAAGACCCATAGTTATTTTTGAGAATCTTCATATGATCACTTTCTGAGTCGATCTATGCATGTCAGTCCCTCTGTCCATCCGTCCGTCCGTCTGTCCATGTATTTTTGCAGATCGCATTTATTATCCAATTAATATGAAATTTTCCAAACAAGATTTGTTTGGTCCAAGGACGAACCCTATTGAAATTGGTGATAATCAGATCAGATTTAGATATAGCTCCAATATATATATAATTGTGCACCAAATGGCCAATATCAGTCCAAATTACCAGATCATCCAGAATGGCACATCGAATTCTGTCTAGAAGCAAGTTCATCAAATTTAGAGAAAATCGGTTCAGCTATAGCTTCCATATATATGTTTCAACCGAACTGGAGTTCTAAGTCCCTCACATGCATAATATGCACTCTACAAGAATGATATTTAGTACCAGATATCTAATGGAGCTCAAAAATACCTCCGTCAAATTTTATCGAGATCGGTTCAGATTAGGATATAGCTCCCATATATATATCTTCATCCGATATCAGGTTTATTGTGCACCAAATGGCTAATATCAGTCCAAATGAACTGAATTTTGGCAAATTCAAACTGAATTCATCTTAGAAACCAGTACTTTAAAACTTGGTGAAAATCGGTTCCGATGTAACTATAGCTCCCTTATATATGTTTCATCCGATTTGGGGTTTTAGGTCCCAATACACTCCACAACAATAATCTTTGATACCAGATTTTAGATACAGCTTAGAAATAAGTGTTAAAAATTTTGTCAAGATCGGTTCAGATTTGGATATAGCTCCCGTATGTATCTTTATCCGATTTCATGTTTTTTTTGCACCAAATGGCTAATATCAACCCAAATGAAGTTAATTTTTGCAAATTCCGACTGAATTCATCCAAGAAACAAGTAATTCAATTTTGGTGAAAATCAGTTCAGATATATAGTTATAGCTCCCATTTATATGTTTCATCCGATTTTGAGTTTTAAGTCCCTCACATGCGTAATATGCACTCCAGAAAAATGATATTTGGTACCGGACATCAGATTCTGCTCGAAAATACCTCTGCTAAATTCAGGTTCAGGTTTTTATATAGCTTCGATATACATCTTTCTCCGATTTTACAGTTATTAAATAGATTTTTTCATATTTAACCGAATTTTTCCATTTGGTGAAACTCGATCCGGCTCTAAAAAATTGTTTTAATATAATTCTTAATGTTATTCATGCACTATACAGCAAAGTTCATTGGTACTAGAAGTACAAAAGCCTCCGTCAAATTTGTTGAAAATCGATACAGAGTTGGATATAGTTCCCAAATTGTGAGTACTCTAAAGCCAATGATACGCCTTCAAATAAGGTTGGTATGATTTATTTCACATAAATTCCCAATATAATTTTTTTGTTACGGGAGCTCTACTAAATACGCATAGTGGTATAGGGTAGCATATACTGGGCCTCGCCCGACTTTTGACCTTTCCTTACTGGTTTTTAAATACATTTTGTAAATATGAACATCGCAGGTTACACCGTATTCAGAAGGACTATTACCATTAAATTATTTTGTGTCACCGTGAACCGATTGCAACTTACACAAATCCAACCTACCTGCTGCTGCTGTCATTCTATTGTATAAATTACGCTTTTTCTTTTTTAATATTGCATCTAAGTTATAGCCCTCTATGGCCATTCTGAAAATTAATGGAAAAAATTGAAATGTTTTTATTGCAATTCTTAGAAATCCCATTTCCTACTTACTTTTCTATTCTGCTTAAGCCTAGGATGTCCTTGAAAACCAAGTAGATTTTGTTTAATGTCAAATTGGGTAGTCCCTGTCCCAGATACCGTATGAACTTAAGTTGTTCGGACTTGGGTAAACCGCTCTCCGATAAATCCAAAAAGGGTCTATGATCGGCCACCTTATATTCCTAGAAATTGTTTAAATAAACGAAAATAACAACAAAAACAAAGAGAAAAAAGAACAAATACAATGGCATTAAATCAAATCCTTTTTTTTCGGATACAATTTTCAATTTCATTCAAAATATATTTTGTTCATTCATGTTTTTGAGAGTGGTGGGTTTTTGTTTGCTCACATTGCAAAATCTGTTGAAATTTTCGATGAGAATATACTTTTCATAATACGTTACAGTCTGATTTGTTTGAATACCGAACTGTTTTAGTAATTCCTGTTTTTTGGGTGGTAACCTGGACAATTGGGTACAAATTCCATCCTCAATGCGATGCGTCTCATGAACATCGAAATTATCGAAGATCATAAGATTTTCCAGAGGTCTGGTTGGGGCTGGCTGTGGTCCATTGATTGCAGTTGGTGGCAACATTGCTTGGTTACTGTTCTGATTAAAGTCCATAAGGGTAGATGTTGTGGGATGTTGTTGTTGTTGCTGCTGTGACTGTGCTGGTATCAAAGGTGGTGGTTGTAACACATTCAGGGGGCCATTGGTATGGCCATTGTTATTATTTAGATTTAAGGACAATGTTGTCACTGATCCACTTGTTGGTGCGATGGTTGCCGATGTCGTCCCTGTTGTAGATGCCGGAGCCACAAGGAAATCCATGCTGTCATTTGACTGTTGATTGAGAATATTTTTCAGATCTGAAATTAAAAACGAAATTGATCGGGCATCAAGAACGTGACTTACACAAAACACATAAATATATTGGCAGAAATAGTGAAATGTTTGGAGTTTAAGGAGAATCTGGCACTAACCTATATGACTGACTGAGGGACTGAGAAGCAACGACCAGACGAAACGGCTGAAGTGTAGTGGTGTGATAATGCTGGGTTTTTGACATTTGTAAGAAAAGTACTTAAAGGTACCAAAATTGATAAAAATTTAAACTTTGAAGTTACGAAAAGTTCTAAAATGGCGCTAAACTTTCAAAAATTGTACCATTCGGTATTATATGAACGGATAGAGCTATAAACTTGAAATTTGGTATGAGAATCAAGGTGGGAAAGAAAGTTTGATAGATAAAGGTGGCTTAGGAAATGTGTAACAAAGTGTGCGAGCTGAACTAAATTTGGAACAGTTTGGTGTAGGGCGAACGGATGAAGATGTAATTTTGAAATTTTGTAAAAGGCGATTTTAGAAATGGTTACTACAAGGGCACAAAAACTACTAAATAGTACCATATTTGGTACTATTTTGTATTGGGTTAACAGAAAGTGCTTGAAATCTGAAATTTGGTATTAGGGTCGCTGTTCATGGTGGTTTCGGAAATGTGTACTATAATTTTATGGGAAGTACCAAATGGTACTATATTTGGTATGGGGTGAATGGATAGAGATAAAATTCTAGAATTTGATATTTAGATAACTGCTGGTATCTGAAGTTGAGATTTGGAGGTGAATTTGAAAATACATCCTATATCTGTACGAAAAGTACTAAATGGTACTAAATTAGGTAGTGGGTGAAGCGATAGGGCCAGAATCCTTAACTTTGATATTGATAGTTGTGTTCCAGTACTTTTTTAGTAGTAAAACTAGCAGAAGAGAGAACAGTTCGAAATGTCATTCTCAATTAGGTGTGCTCAAAAAATAAGGGAACGGAAAATTAGCAGAAATGCGATAAAATGTCAAAATTCAAAATTCCAAGAGTAAACAGTCCAAATCGGACTGGTGAAACCTTACTGAAACGGACGCCAAAATTTAAAAAAATTAGTATTGAAGACGATACGATAAAATTAATAATCTATAATAATAATTAATAATCTGATTCATCATTCAGCCAGTCCTTTTCACTACTGGAATCATCCAAAAGTGCTCCATATTTTGCTTTTTTTTTTGCACTACAAATTTTATTTTTGTTATGACGCGGGAACATTGAAATGTATCAATACATTTTTCAACCTTGTTAGCCCTGCCAATTAAATGTCAAATTCACAATTTGCACATTTCTGCTCGGCCAAATTCATGTAGCTAAAACAAGCAGAAATGTGCACCACTCGGCGCCATTTTTTTCTCAAGAGAGCTGCAAGTTTTGCTAGTTTTTGCAGTACGGGAACGCGTTGTAGCAGAATTAGTACTAATTAGTACTAATTTGTAGGTTCTGGAACACAACTGATGTGTCTGTTGGTATCTGCAATTAAGATATGGGGATGGGTTTGGAAATGTGTGCTATAATTGTACGAAAAGTACTAACTTTGGTATTCGGTGAAGGAATAGAGCTGGAATCCCGAAATTTGATATTGAGGTCTCGGTTGGTATCTGGGTCGGTTGGTTTTGGAAATGGGTACTATAAGTGCACGAAAATACTAAATAGTACTATATTTGGTACAAATTGGGTGAGGGATAAACAAATTCTGGAATTTTATATTTAGATAACTGCTGATATCTGAAGTTGAGATTTGGATTGGTGCATTTGGAAATGTGTCCTATATTTGTACGAAAAGTACTAAATTTGGTATTGGATAAAGGAATAGAGCTGAAATCCTGCAATTTGATATTGAGGTCTCGGTTGGTAACTGGGATTGAGATATGGAGGAGGGTTTGGAAAAGGCACTAAAATTTGTATGAAAGGCACTAAATAGTTCCAAATTTGGTACAATTTGGTATTTCGTGAACAGATAGTGCTGGAAATTCGAAATTTGATATTAGGGTTTCGGAAATGTGTACTAGCTATTTCGAGGAACTTGGCCTCGAAAAGTACTATATTTGATATTGACTAAAGGGAACTAAAACCGTGAAATTTTCCATTGCGATAACAGTTGGTGTCCAGATTGAGATATGGAACGGTTTTGCAAATGAGTACTAAATTATAGGAAAAGTATAAAATGTTACTAAATTTGGTATTGAGTAGATTGTCTTGGATACGTGTGCTGAATATTACCAAATTTGGTATTGATTGAATGGATAGATCTGAAATTCTGAAATTTGATATTGAGGTCACTGTTGTTTTCTAAGGTTTACATAGGAAGAAGTTGAAATAGCTTTGGACAGAAAAATCGGATGTAGATCCATTGAACAATGGTTTTGCTAATACGACTTTCTTCAAACTTCAAAATTAGGGATTTTGAAGACTTTTTGGTGTAAAAGGTAAATATTTTCCTATTATTCTTTCCGAAAAGGGAAAAACTTGAATAAGGTATAAAACCTTGAATGTCTGAAAATTTAGTACGATGTATGTAGTTTTGGGTAAAAAAATTTTGTCAAACGGAATAAATTCTGAATTTTGAGTACTAAAAAGGACTAACACGAACTGTTGGAACAAATCTTTTCGCTGACGTAGTTGTGGGCATAGGTATTATTTTCCTTCTTCTTCAAAATATTCTGACTGGGTCGATGTGTGCCCGATCCATCCTATCTTCGCTCTAGATGCAGTGCTAACAGAAATGTTTGAGGATGCATAGTTTGAAGAGAATCGGTAATTCATATGTTTATTAAAAGTTTCAACCTTTTGTAGGGAAGGTATCAGAATAAGTGGTGCGCTATTATCAATTTTCGCACTTAGTGTAAATATTACAATAAGCTATGTTTTAAACAAACCGGATATTCATAACGTTTTCTTTGAGATTTTTATTTATTTTTGAATAATTTTTCATCTTTTTGGCAGAGGAGATACCAGATGGAGTGAACCAATATGGCCCTTCTTCACCCCATATCTAGTGTTGGCAGAAATATTGGAAATTAGCTTTTCAAATTGTTCTCACATCTCATCCCCACCTCCCAATCAATAACGTTTGAAATCGCGGACTTCTATAAGAAAGCTAAATACAAATTTTTATATGAAGATTTTGTCAATACCCTCGAAATAGCTAAGATCAGGCCAAATCATTTGGGAAATGTGACTAAGACTTTTGAAATAGCTGAAACGTGGAACAATATTGATAAGGTTTCCTACATGTCAAGAACTCAGAACGCGAACAAATGCCGAAAATAGTTGAAAAATACAGCTAAAATTTAAATGTATCAGTCGGTTTTGCCGACAGATGCATACCCTCAGGCAATGTTCGATAATTTAAATATATTTTGACTTCTGTTATGATTATTCAAATTGTTGACCCTCTGTGGAGTAGGTTCCGAAGGAATGGGCCAATGTTGTCCGTTTCGTATCGGACCTTAAAAAATATGATATGAGATGGATGAGAAAAAACTGCAACCAATTTCAGACTGCTGTCATTTCTAAGCCACTCGTCCGACAGCTGTTAAAATTATTCCAGTGACAGGTCATTATATTGTTTACAAGCGTACAAAAGCATTTTTGTGAAAATTTTCCAGAAAAAAATTAATGTTATATTATTGGCCTGGCCGAAAGTGGTGAACTGCCGAATTTGGTTTTCTTCGATGAGAAAAGATTCGTTCTCCAGCATGTTTATTTGCCAAAAAGGTCAGCTTAAAATGTGCACCTTCGGTTGGCCACCAGAACTCGATTGGGCCGCCATAACAGCCGATGGTGGCTCTCCGCTCGTATTAATCGACCGTGGCATCAGAATAAATGTCGAATATTATCGCGAAAATATTTTGGAGGGTGTATTAAATCCTTGGGCATGCAAACATTATGGCCGCAGACGTTGAACATTCCAAAAGCACTCAGCACCATCGCACTCAGCACGAGCCACCCAAGAATGGTTACAAAATGAGGTTCCTCGCTTCATTTCCAGCGCCAATGGCCACCAAAATCTCCGGATACCAATCCGTTGGACTATTGTGTCTGGAGTATTTTGGAAAGCAAGGTTGGCACTAAAAAAGACCAAAGTGTCGATCAGCTCAAGCAAGCGCTTCGTCGGGAATGGGACAAAACACCGCAGAGCAACATTCGTACAGCGTGTGACGGTTTCATTTGCCGTTTAAAGACCATAATTCGTGCCAAAGGTGACCAATTCGAACAAATGTAAACTTATTCTAAAATTTGATGCTATTTCCGATATTTTTTGCTTTCATTCAATAAAATAAGAAAAAAAATTAAAAATCATGGCGTTCGACTTTGTTGCAGTGTTTTATCTCACCCTGTATACCCTTTATAGCCATATGGCTGAGGGTATAATTATTTGGATAAACCAAAAAATAAACCGATACGACCGATTTTTTTGTACCAATGATTCTAGATGTAATTCAAATTTCTAAGATAAAGAGTCCCACCCCTCAGAGTGCTATAACACCTAAAAAAATTATATTAGTGTGGGATTCATATGCTCCTGCTGCACCCAAATACCTGCCTGCTGTTATTGATGGGATTTAAAAGTCAATTTATATGTTTTAAACAAAAACTAAGTTAAATTTGTTTACAGTGCGTGCCAAGAATGCAAATTGCCTTAAACTAACTTACCACCAATTTGAAACCAATTAAAAAATAATAAAGCAATTTTTTGAAAACATTTTTGTTCAGATGTAATAGTTTTTAATAATTATTTCGAAATTAGCTTTCATACTATATATGATAATATATGTTTGGGTAAATATATAAAACAATTTTGAATTTCTATATATATAAAAAATACAAATATCATCTGCAATACACATCATAATAAATATAAAAAAAATAAAATGTAATATGATAGTCATAGTCATAGCATTGTTGATGTTTTTTTTTCTTCTTCTTAATTGTTAATTTAGTTGCTTGTTATAGAAGCAATAATTTTTTGAAAATAATTATA